AGTAAGAGGTAAGATAAAGCCGCATAGTCTTCTTGGCCTAGTGTTAACGAAAGCCTTTTATAAAAATGACACCCAGCTCTGATGATGTCCATCATATGATGGATGAAAGCTCAGCAATTTTTCACCCGAAACGAGGGAGAAAGTCCCGTGGACTGCGTCAACATGACTAACTGGCTGCAGTACAATGAATTTCATCCATTCTCATCTGGTGAGATCGACCAACGAATCTCTTCTTCATGCACTTTCATACGAAATGTAGGTCCCCCTAACAATGTTGCCTCAGAAGATACATCGAAACCAAGTTTCTCTTCGTATCTATAATTCAAATTAGTCCTCTCAGTAAGTCTGGCCAATTGGCATATATGCTGCAAACAATACTTTGAGGCGTAACTCATATCAAATTACCAGTCCTGAACAATTTTATATCTTTGTTTTTGAATTACTAGGAAGGGCTCAATATCATTTTTAAAAATATTTTGAGATTAAGTTTATCAATCAAGTACTGGTAGTATCAAAGACCTGATTATAAAACGAAAAATAAATTATCACAATCATTTTTATGTACTACTTGTGTTCAAATTCCATGCAAATGCAGCCAAATAAACACAATTATACCCTGAAATCCCTTAATGCGTGGTAACAGAGGATGAGACAAAAGGTGCGCATTCTAACGAAAAAGTGTCAATAACACCAATTTAAATAGGTCTTTTCGACCTTTTTATCCAGAAGACAAATTTGAGCACATAATGTTTCACTACGACAAAAAGAGGCAACAATTCTATCGAAGAGTTTGACACTTAATGCCTATAAAATGCTTCGTAAATATAAGAACATACTCTTAACATATTAACATAAAAATATTGATTTGCGTATACAAGACCTCAAGACTAGTAAAATCCGACTGGCTAATGACATTGAAGATGCGAAGAGTAACTGGGTTTCGATTAATCTCCTGAGAGAATATTGTTGGTAAGACCTACATTTCGTATGAAAGCGCATGACGAAGAGATTCGTAGGTTGAACTCACCTGAAGGCGACGGCTGAATCCCTTTGTATTACAACTGTGGCCAAACGGCTGCAGTACAACGGGATTTAGTTGGCATCTTCTGGTGAGATCCACCTACGAATCCCTTCTTCATGCACTTTCATACGAAATGTAGGTCTCCCCAACAATAGATAATTACAGATGGATAAAGGGGGATATAAAAATAAAAAATTAATTGGATTAGATGAGATGCTGTACGCCGCGAAACTGAATAGAACTACTGATCTGATGTCCGGAAGGATCTGATGAGTAGAGAAATAGACTCATTTGTTTTGTACATTTGGAACGGAAAAAGACATCAACAACGTTCTCTGTCAAATATTGAGAATTTATGAGTCACCTCTCCAACGCTAGGGTAATCAGTCTCATCGAAGTTGTGCCATCCGAAATACTCGATCGAGGAATTAAAACGATCTTTTCCAAAGGATAGCTGACACGAAGTACGCGCTGGCATCACAAGGCCGGCGATTCGTCCGTCACCAGCCAAATGGAAGCCGCCATCAGATGCGTACAGCACAATCTTACGTGCATGGGATCGCCAACCAACGTCGCGGTTGCAAACGGCCACCTGAAGCAGGGCATCCAGCCCACCCTCCGGATTGTCTAGGTTACCTGAGGGCTTAAGTTGTAGATAAATGGAAACAAAGAGGTTGAGTGACTAAAATATGGTGTGGTAAATAATATATTTCAGATGTAAAGACTAACTGGTGGACATCATCAAAACAGGAACTAATTCTGGTAAAAGTCTCAAGTAAACACTAGGACAAGAAGAATGTCTAGCTTTATTTTATGTCTTATATATGCCAATAACTAAAAACGGAAATATATAGACAGATAAATATAGAATGATTTGGATAGGTCTTATCCATATTTTTCATGTAACTTTTATTTGAGTGAATGAATGTATGTGTGTGTGTGTGTGTGTGTATTTGTGCGCTAAATTCTATAAGCATTAGCGGCCCTAAATCGGAATGATTAAAAAGTTCTGTCAGGCTCGGATCATCAAACTTAATTTTCCAAGAAAAAGCCCTAACCGAAATCGCGTAAGTCCGTAAACAACTCTGATTAAGATAATGAGATGTAAGCTTATAAGTGTGTAAAGCAGGTTATGAAACCACCTGACATAATTTCACGGTCTAGAGTCATTAAGGTTTAATCACACAAGGAAAGTCATAGCTGGGGCTGCATAGGCTCGTGCGTCTAGTTAAGTTTATAAGTATAATCTACATGTTGTACTCGTGTTAGTGAGATTGGAACTTCCACTAAACAGACAGGTTAAGTCACTTTCTTTGGGATGGCAGGCCCAACACCATCTCTCTTCTTCAATCTATCAATCAAGCATAAATAGTTCATATTCAACTTCCTATCAACTTATCCATATTCAACCTATTCCCCAATCTATTAATTTCAATACACTCTCTTATATTCCTTTTAACAGCAGACGTAGTATAATCGGTAAACCTACGCGTTTGAGACCAGTCTATCTCATATTTAATCAT